CGCGCCTTTCTTCCAGTCTTCAGGGATCGTCGACTTTCGCCAAACGCGATCAAAGTCATGTAAATCCAGCGGAGAAGGTTTTCACCTGTGCACTTCAGGATTTCCGCTCGACTACCATCGAGCGAACAGGACTTCCAGCTTCAGCAGAGTTGTATCGCTTCAGATTTCTTTGACCTACAACGGGGTACGGCAACCTCTAAATCCTTCTTAACAACCTCTTCTGTATGCAGATTTATGCCTCAATAGGCAGGAGCACCGCGAAGAGCTGGACGGTCGTCAGGATTGTACAGCGGCTCCTTGAACTTGCTGTGTAACAACCCGGCGGAATGCTTTCGCGATGTTAGTCACCTGTCTGTTCAGCATCTTTCAGTCTCTTTCCACTGCCGCCTTCCCCAACTTAAACGCCTCGAGATCCGGTCATCGTTGCCTGTTATGGACGTAGTTACCGTCGATCCGTTTCACGAGAAGACGAACCTTGCTTCCTCTGCATCGTTTCCTTCCTATCCTCGTTCCTCCTCGTTTCCTTCGTACCGTCAGGGTCATGTAATGACATCCGCATTACCCACCTATTTCCGGGCGAAGAATTAAAGTTTAGGTCGGAAAACTCAGAGCTGCTTCATCTTACCGCTGGTGAAGCGTTGACAGTGGCATCGACGATGCCTTCTATCAGGTAGTTGTAGAGCAGTTCCGGCTCTTGGAAGATGGCGACGTCGTTCATAACAGTGAATTTGCTGCTGATCTCCACCGGATTTGGAACGCCTCGTGAGTGACGAAATCCTTAAACTTCTGCTATCAAAGAGGGCGTCACTCCCTCCGTTTCGGCGATGTCCCTACGGTGGTTGTCAGACGAATTCGGAGCTTCCCGACCACTCCTAAATGGTCACTTCCCATGCCCACAGCTCGTTTCGCAGCAGTGCCATGCAGGCCTCCTTGGCACGTGATCGATTTGGCTTCTGAAATGACCTCCTGGCGCCGTCCCCGTCAAATCATGGAGCCGACGATGCAGACACCGCGTCACGATGAAGAGGAGATGCGTAACGCAAAGGTCTAACAGGTGGTGACTGTGACACTTATCTGCGACACCTCTGCCATGTCCACCCAACCCACGGTGTCAGCTGCCGGGAGGTGCTGCTGGCCTGGGCGTTGAGGTCACCGGCGACGACTGATGATTGGTGTCGCGGGAAAGAACCAAGAACCGCGTTAAGGCAAGCGTAGAACCGGCGTTTGTTCTGGTCCTCGACAGCGTTCGTAGGGCGGGACCTTCAGCTTCAAAATTCGTGCCAATAAACGAGAAACGGTGGCTCGTGCATTATACGATTAACAACGCATTCGCCGCTCGGTGTGGGGGAGGGGGAGGGGGCAGTAGAACTGCAACTCCAGCCTCGCGGCGGCAGACCTTGCTGCCTGGCCGCAGACAGAAGAATTAATTGTCGTTGTTCTTGAAGCCGCTGAAGTCCGTCGCCTGATAGGTGGTGCCTGAGAATCCCAAAATGTGCAACTTGTATCGCGTTGCGGTGCGGTGCGAGTGGCGTCGTCCAGGGTACCATCACCGTCCAGCGTCGTCCGTGGGTTCCAGTAGAACGTGACTCGAAGCTCCTCCTTGCAGAAATTGAGAACTGAGTTTCTGCAGGACAGATTTTTTTGTAAAACCGCCCTCATCGCACAAGCGTCGTAAACAGCGCGCGAGGTTGCAACCGCAGGCATCCGTTTGTCTCAGTCACTAAGCCATTCGCTCGTCCTCCTGTTTTTCCTTGTTACATTCGTTTCTGCAGTTAGTGAATAGTTTTCAGGTTTACGGTCCACGTTCCGCACTCACAGGTCAGCACCGGAAGCAAGCACTTGTCGACTACTTCCCGTTTCAAGCACAACGGCAGTCTCCCAGATAGAAATTAGATTTTCTACCTTCCAGAAGTACTCCATGCCATTTTTACTCTTCCACGACTTCACCTAGTTGGCTACACGCTGCAGACAAATGCGAGCCGTCCTAGACAGACGTAGTTGGTCATCCGTTCAAACCTAAACGCTTGATTTGAACACGTCATGAGGTTTCGTACTTGTTAGACACCACTTTCGTCATCTACTGACTCATTTTCAGTCTGTGCTAATGCGCTAATCGTTCGGCTATTGCACTATTCTTTGTGAGTTCTTCGCGGCTTTCAGAGGATCAGGTACGCGATCATGTCGTACGCGATGCGTACGTTGCTTAAGTAGGGCTACTTCGTTTTCAGCCTTTGATTTTCGAAATCGAATTTTTCATAAATCTCATTTATGGTTGTTGCGAATAGCTTAAGTGATACTGTATCACCTCATCCGATGCACTTCGATTTGCA